AGAATGTAGACGCTGTAGTGGACTTCTCCCCTACAACTGCGTAGCCGCACCACCAGCTGCTACCATCTTCCCTAGCAACGAAACTAGCGGCAAGCGAGCGGCGTCACCAGATGCTATCGTATCCTAGCAACCGAGCCAAAGACTGGTTACTTCTCGGGTTTTCCCAACATGACTCAAAGATGACTCACGGCTGCTGGGTATATAAGCTCTGTCTCTCCATTGAGATTCATTCTGGTCTCTCTTCTTGAACAAGCACCACACACCTCCTCCTCCGCCGCTGCCTGGCGGCCCTCGCTTCTCCTCGCCTGCCTGGCGGTCCTCGCTCCCGCCAGCGAGCATGGCGACCCACCAGCTGTCCTTCTCTGAGCTTCCTCACCAACCAGCTCTCATTCTGGCCCATCTTCCTGAACACGCAACACCTCCTCCAGCAAGCTCCACGCTGTCCAGCTTTCATTCAACCAGGAGGCCAGCAACAGGCAACATCTTCTCTAACGAAGCTCCTGCACATCTACCTCCTTCAACACGCTACTCACCGAACGTCTCTACTGAGTAGCTCCTCACCACACGGCACCTCCAGCACCAGACTGTCTATCATATAACTTATATTATACAAGAAAACCACCTTAGAGTTTCCATCCATCCTGAGTGTTAGACACATTATACCACGAATTCCTACAACGCCATAACAATCACCGAAACTTGGATGAATCTGGCGAGCAAAATTTTTTTATCAGAGTACCACATACAAGGATACAACCTTTTTCAAGTCGGCCAGCCAGCACTGGGCCAGTGACGCCGGGCAGGGCACTTCCCACTGTAGCTATCCCCATCATAGAGTCAACACTTAACCAGACAACATAGAAATATGGCAAATTAAGTACTCATTATAAGTGTTAAGATTAGACTTATTACATAGCTATGATTTTTATGTGAATATATATATTAGATTAAACATTTATGTATGATTGCCTATGTATGATTTATTTGAAATACTAAGAATGAATTGTATTCAAAAGGTTTGACCAAATTATAACGTTTTAGTTCAACGTGAGTCTGATATCCCTTAAAGGCTCAGAAGGCGTTTACAGTTATAAAGTATGAAGCAAATTTTAAGAGGAAGAATATTATGGCTTCATACCTGATATTAAAGGTCTTGGCGAAAACGGAAAACAACCGTAGTGGATGCAATCCTAGACAAGGTTCTTGAAACTCCAGAGCACGAGCAGTAGGTATATTCAATAAGTGTACAAGACTTGGCGTGATAGCCGACCGATACAGGAGCGGGCACAAGGGACCCCGGACCGTAGGTAGGCCGAGGCTGATCTGAGGGATGTTGTCTAGCTGGGCAAGGAGAGTTGCTAGACATCACTAGGACAATGACTGAGGTCCTCTAGTTACTCGACTAGCGCGGTACAGACATAGTATATCGGGGCCTAGTGAGTGAACATAGGCATTAGACATAAGCATAGATATCAGACATGGTATAATAATATGTAGTAATACAGACATGTGAATAAATGGTACAATGAATGGTAACAGAGTCTTGGCGTCCAGTGTAGCGTCCATGTAAGGGAAGTAGCTCACTGTTGAGTACTTCATAGGCCCAAGAAGTTGCGAACTACCAACGGTCTGTAACACTCTGAATGGTGTATAATGCAGTGTTTATTATTCAGAACTTTATAAAACTAATGACAGGAAAATGAAATTCACTGAGTATGAGGACTACTCTCAATATAATTACTGTATCTGGGATCTCCGTTACCCCTCACCACACATTATATTATAGAAAATAGTAATATTACGTCATGGACTCGCAACCAATCACAACGCGAGCAGTTGAACCAATCAGCGTGTTCGGTAAACAAGATTGGGTCATTCCTACAGCCCTGCCTGGACGACCTGTTGCTTTGGTCAGGACAACAGGGAACCAGTGTGTCCTGTTGGGTCCCTTCATAATGTCTTGTATTATAACCTGATATTAAAAACCTTTTCGTGGAATTTACTTACATTTTAATAAAATTAATAAGTTGGTGAGGTTCATAAAATAATATTTCTTGTTTGATGGTTAAGGAGACAATTAGGCGAAGCTTGAGGTAGCCCAAACATAAAGCAGCTCAGTAGTGTAAACATGGCGAGCAGTGTGGGACGACTGAGGCTTCTTCCACGAGTTTGTTCTTTAATCAGGTAAAGAAAATGACGCAGCGGACATTTATTAATAAACTTATGATATAACAGTGTAATACATGCTAAACTATATTACTCTTAGTAAAGGTGGATAACCAGAGTGTTGTGACGGCACCAAGTGTGAGTTGTTACTTGACCACAGGAGGGACAGTTAGGAGCTGGGGTGGTTAATAGTGTTCAGGGGGTCCCACTAATTACCCAAATGTAGCCGCAATGAAGTCAAATAATGGTTCTACATGAATAAATCGGACTGCGAATCACTTCTTGATTATTATTTAGTGTCATAGTCACAAAAAATTGGTAAACTTAATTTAATCTTAGTTAATAGATCGAGTCCATGTACCTAACCTAACCTAACACAACTCAGATTAAATTAAGTTTACCAATTTTTTTTTACTATGACACCAAATAATAATCAAGAAGTGATTTGCAACCCGATTTATTCATGTAGGACCATTATTTGACTTCATTGCGGGTACATTTGGGTAATTACTCGCTCCCTCGGTACAAGCACGCGATCTATTAACTCGGTTTAAATTAAGTTTTCCAATTTTTTGTGACTTTGTGACACCAAATACTAGTCGAGAAGTGATTGGCAGTCCGATTTATTTATGTAGAACCATTATTTGACTTCATTGCGGCTACATTTGGGTAATTAGTGGGACCTCTTTAAATGATGCACTTCTTCCATGGAAGGACATTAATGTTGAAAGGAAATGTGGAAGAGACTCGCACACATACTGTTCTGCAATGTCTCTCTGCTCAGGAGTCAGATGTCTGCCCTGATACCTTGGATCTATCACATTAGCTAGAAAATGGGCAGGTGTCAATGCTACTTTGATTCTTTTTCAAAATTATCCATATCCTTCTTATCTGTTAAATACTCCTTAATATCAGTTTTCAGTTTTACCCAGATTTCTACAGCATCACTTAATAGGGTATGTTCTCTCTGGACACAGTCCAATGCCACAGCAATAGGCTTAAGTCTCTCAAAATAGTCTTCTGCAGTTCTTTTTAATGCCTTATCATTAACTTACCTTTCAATTTTCTTATCATTTTCTTCACTATTTTCTTTGCACACTTTAACAAGGGTCTCCCAGTTCTTTAAATAAGATTCAATAGAATCTGTCACTGTGTTCCATCGTGTGTCTGATGGTATTACAATGGTCCCTCGATTAACGAGCACAATCCGTTCTAGAAGGTTGCTCGTTAACCGAAAACTCGTTAACCGAAACCATTGTTTCAATGGGTTTTTGGGTAATTGGTTCCAGCTCACCAAAAATTGCTTAAATTCAACCAAAAATGTAGAAAAGTACACTTACTTTGAGGTGTGTATGTAGAAATCTCCTCGATGATGATGATGATGGGAATTAGAATGGGGGTGGAGGAGAAGGGAGAAGAGAAGGCATTGCGGTGGAAGAGAAGTCACCCCATGGCGCCATTTCACCCATAAAATTTTAGTTCTCTTGGTGTAATTCAAGATTATTTTCTTTAAATCAACACTGCACTGTCATTATATATTGTCAATATGTAAAATAAATTTCAAAATGACCAATAATTTGCTTGCAAACACAGAAAAAAAGTGTTTCGTTGAAGAGAGTCTCAAGCAAGATGCTACCTCCACTGAAAAGACACAAAGACTGACGCCTGTATGGTGCGTTAACAGGCTGGATGGCGCGCATAAAACTAGTCACTTTACCTTCAATTATGTTCAATAATTGTTAAAATGACTAAAAAATGTAATATTAAACTTTTAAAATTATTGAATAGTATAAACTTTTTGATAGTCGGCCCTTAACATACGCGGGTTATAATACACGGATTTGCAAATACGCGGATTGCCCCACCGGAGGAATATTCTGTACATTGAAGTAATTGAAGTACATTCAAATTGCGCGCCATTCAACCCGCGCGCGGCACCAAACACGGGACACCGCCCGCTCCCGCAACCTCACACACACACGCATAGCTCTCCCTCACTCACTCAGTCTCGCTGTAACCACGCTTGTGTTGACATCAGCATTGGAGTTGCAAAAATATTACATTTCCGTTAATGTATTATATCAAGCACAGTATGAATAGAATATCACTAATATAAGAGTATTTTAACCGAAAACTACTAAAAAAACGAGTAACATATCTTGAACATCGGAAGGTTAGGTAAAGTCTTTTGTTTTCATGTAATTTATCCTAATTTACATTGAAATGCATTACGTTTCAGCAAAACTACTATTTATTTCTGAGAATATGGAAATGTAATATTTTGCTGAAATGACGTACGTATTACAGTGGAAAGTGACGAAAGCAATGACTCGCTTTCTTTCGTTCAAAAGATGTTACCATAATCGCTTTTCGAATGGTTTTCAGTTAAAAAACTGTTGTATTACAATAATATTCTATCCTAATTCACTTGTGATGCAACAGTTTTTTTAACTGAAAACCATTCGAAAAGCGATTATGGTAACATCTTTTGAACGAAAGAAAGCGAAAGTCATTGCTTTCGTCACGATTTTATACCACTTTCCACTAATACGTATGTCATTTCAGCAAAAATATTACATTTCCGTGAATGTAGTATATCAAGCACAGTATGAATATAATATCATTGTAATATAACAGTATTTTAACCGAAATCTATTAAAAAAACGAGTAACATCTCTCGAACATTGGAAGGTTAGGTAAAGTCTTTTGTTTTCGTCATGTATTTTATCCTATTTTACATTGAAATATACCACGTTTCAGCAAAACTACTATTTATTTCTGAGAATATATTCGTTCAGGCACAGTTTAGGTAAAATATACATGTGCTGTAACATTTTTTTAATTGAAAACGATTAAAAAAACATGTACCCTCTAGCCCTGTTCAAGGAGAAGACTGGGAGGAGCTGTTTGGTGCTTAAGACGATGACAAGGTAAATGATTTTGATGGATTTTAATGAAAATATTCAGAAAGACCCTGGCACTGTCAAGGAAAGTGGCTGCTGAAGGCTTCCAGGACATGGCAGAGGACGAGATTAGGGAGCTAATTGAAGAGCACGACACTGAGCTGACCGAGGAGGATCTACAGGAGTTAGTAGACTCAGGCAAGGAAGAGGAAGAGGAAGGGAAAGAGGATGAGGAAGAGCACCAAGAAATAAGGTTGGAGAAGTTGGGGGAGATGACCAGGAATATTGAGGCACTGAAAAACCTGGCCTATAGTATGGACCCCTCCATGGTGCGTGCCCTGAAATTCATGCGAGGGATGGATGACGTTTTCGCTCCATACAAAAACATCATGGAAGAAATGAAAAAAGAGACGACAACTCCCCATCACCATGTTCTTTGATCACCGAAGGAGAGATTTAACACCATCAATCACTGGCGGCAGTGAGGAAGCAGCTGAATCCACCGTCGCCTCCACTTCACCACCCGTTATGGAATTGAGTGACGATGAGCCCGATGACCCCGTCCTGTTGCCGAGGAGAGGTACGGTACAGTAAAGTGAAATTTTTATCTCTTTTTTTTTAATAGCTTTTCTTGCCATGTTTATTGTTTGTAAAAATGCACAGCACAGTACAGTTCAGTACTGTACATAGGAAGTGGAGGTGCAGTTATTTACAAAACATTTGTGTTCGTTGTCGGCAGTAGTGACGGTGAGGAGGTGGAGGAGGCAGAGGGGGTGGAGGAGGCAGAGGAGGTGGAGGAGGTAGAGGAGGGAGCGGAGGGAGACGAGTTGGGAGGAGTGGTGACCTTGGACGCGGGAGCAGGGACGAGTGGAGATGCCAGCCAGTACATTACGGGTGTATTAATTGTTTTTATAGCTATTTTTGCATTTTAATATTAATACTGTACATTACGTTTCAACAAAACTACCATTTATTTCTGAGAACATGGAAATGTAATATTTTTGCTGAAATGATGTACGTATTACAGTGGAAAGTGGGATAAAATTGTGACGAAAGCAATGACTTTCTCTTTCTTTCGTTCAAAAGATTTTACCGTAATTGCTTTTTGAATGGTTTTCAGTTGTGGGATTATAAGGCTAATGATAGGATAGAATATTATTGTAATACAGTAGGCTACGAATACAACAGTTTTTTAACTGAAAACCATTCGAAAAGCGATTACGGTAAAATCTTTTGAATGACGAAAGAAAGCGAAAGTCATTGTTTTCATGATTTTATCCCACTTTCCACTGTAATATGTACGTCATTCCAGCAAAAATATTATATTTCCATATTTATTTCTGAGAATACGTATATTCATTCAGTCACAGTTAAGGTAAAATATACTTGTGATGTAATATTTTAATGAAAATACGGTATCGTAGTTTTCTTTTGTTTCAAATTTAATTAACAAAGATTGATGTTTCAAATGTAATGGACAAAAATTTATGTACAGTATCTATAAATAAACTTTAATAAATGAATACTTTGTTTTACATCGTCTTGTGCTACCATACCATGGATTTGGCTAGTTTGGGCTTGCTATGATGACGCAAGAGATCTGCCCTGGCAACTGTACTGACACTCACAGCTGGTGGTGCGTTTGTGCATCGTTTCCATTGTTTACTGGTAGTTACTGGTAAATATTTTTCAACCTAACGAAACTATTACCCGTTTCGAGGTCGACCCCCAATTTTTTGCCAAATAATTTGGTCTTAAAAACTTGAACTACACACAGGTATATACGGTAAATAAGGACATGGGGGGACCAGGTTTTTTTTTGGGGGGGGGAGGCAGCACATATACGCGGATTTTTAACATCCACGGGTATCTCTGTTACATAACCCCTGCGTATGTTAAGGGCCGACTGTATTTACTAAAATAGTAAGGAATTTAAGTACTAGGACCGATTACTGTATTGGTGGACTAATACTACAGCTGGTTGACCGCCAAGTGCAAGCGAAAACTTGTTGTGGTCGGCTCGTGAGCAACTCGTTAACCGAGGGATTGCTCGTTAACCGAAGTTAAGAATCTTATGGGAGGTAACTCGTTAACGAAGGCGCTCGTTAACCGAGGGATCACTGTACTAGCATTGTTCCTCCTGCTCTTCTATACAAAGATCCTGGGATGTGATGATTTCTGAATTTCAGTAGTATTAATTATCTTAGGTAACAATATATTTCATGTAAATATATACATTAATAATGAGACCTTATGATTTGATCAAAGTTTCACAAAACTGGAAAGAACAGACTATACAGTAGTACAGTACATAATTATGTAAACCCAAATAATGTTATTAGCCTGCTCCATTGCATATACTTTTCAATTATGTAGAATAAAAAGAGAAAACAGTTATTAGTAAAAAAATTATTTTGATTTAAATCATGATTTTTTTACTCTGATTTAAATCGATTTAAATCATGTGATTTAAATCATTTGATTTAAATCATAACAACCCTGAAACAAACAGACGATATGCGGTGACATGGCAGATATTTACGGTAAAGAATTAATCTCTTCATGTACACACACACATCATTTTAGTGTCACATGATCAGTTTTTCACCATGTTTTACCCCACAATTTCCTTCATCCTTCATGCTCTGCCCACTATAGGTGATGTATAAAATGTTTTTGCCTCTTTTAAAATGCTTACAATAATGATAAGAACATGTGTGTAAAAAGTGAACAAAATGGAACAACTCTTACTGGTAGTAGTACAATAGTGCTGCTCTCAAAAGTTACTCTCTTTTTTACTTTATGAAGGTCATTTGGAATTTGTGAAGAATACCTTAACTGATAGTTTTATATATATATATATATATATATATATATATATATATATATATATATATATATATATATATATATATATATATATATATATATATATATATATATATATATATATCTTGATAAAATCACACGGAAAAATGGAAACAACGGAGTACCTTAGCTTTCGTCTTTATTCAAGACATCTTCAGAGGCAACTGGATTACATGGACAGAGAGAGGCTTAAATATACAGGGTGACCTTAAAAACATGAGGTCAGGTCATAATGATGACATCCACTAATCCCCACACCAACACACACGTAGAGGAGCTTAAGAGAAGGGTGGTGACGTGACTAGCCAGGTCAGGTCAGAAAAAAGGGACCCACAAAATAACTATCATACATCTAGATCAAAGGTTTTCAAAGCATTTTTAACCTTGGGCCACTGACAAATAAATTTATGTAACATATATATGCAAGTAAATCACTGTAGGTGCGCGTGATCTAGGTATATGCTGATAACCACATATATATATATATATATATATATATATATATATATATATATATATATATATATATATATATATATATATATATATATATATATATATATATATATATATATATATATATATATATATATATATATATATATATATATATTTTTTTTTTGCCTTTCAGTAGAGCAGTATGCCATAACAAAATACGTATAGGATATGACATAAATCCTGCATCTATACACTATGGATGGGGGAAGCAACTATCCGAGGCTAGGAGGAGTGTTCATCTGACTTCTGCCGTCTCAATGTTCATCAAAGTTCAAGAAACACCCAATCCAAATTCTCTCAAATTTTTACCAGGTGTCCAGGTATGTTGTTGTAACACAGGCAGCCTCTTGACAGTACAGTATATGGGTCTTAACTGTGGCAGCCTCTTGATGGTACAGTGTATGGGTCTTAACTGTGGCAGCCTCTTGATGGTACAGTATATGGGTCTTAACTGTGGCAGCCTCTTGATGGTACAGTATATGGGTCTTAACTGTGCAGCCTCTTGATGGTACAGTATATGGGTCTTAACTGTGGCAGCCTCTTGATGGTACAGTATATGGGTCTTAACTGTGGCAGCCTCTTGATGGTACAGTATATGGGTCTTAACTGTGGCAGCCTCTTGATGGTACAGTATATGGGTCTTAACTGTGGCAGCCTCTTGATGGTACAGTATATGGGTCTTAATTGTGGCAGCCTCTTGACAGTACAGTATATGGGTCTTAACTGTGGCAGCCTCTTGACAGTACAGTATATGGGTCTTAACTGTGGCAGCCTCTTGATGGTACAGTATATGGGTCTTAACTGTGGCAGCCTCTTGATGGTACAGTATGTGGGTCTTAATTGTGGCAGCCTCTTGATGGTACAGTATATGGGTCTTAACTGTGGCAGCCTCTTGATGGTACAGTATATGGGTCTTAACTGTGGCAGCCTCTTGATGGTACAGTATATGGGTCTTAAGTGTGGCAGCCTCTTTTGATGGTACAGTATATGGGTCTTAAACTGTGGCAGCCTCTGATGGCACAGTATATGGGTCTTAACTGTGGCAGCCTTTCATGGTACAGTATATATGTGGGTTCCTAACTGGTGGCAGCCTCTTGGGATGGTACAGTATATGGGTCTTAACTGTGGCAGCTTCTGATGGTGGCCAGTATATGGGTCTTAACTGTATGGGCAGCCTCTTGATGGTACAGTATATGTAGTTTGAATCGCTGTGGCAGCCTCTTGATGGTACAGTATATGGTGGTCTTAACTGGGCAGCCTCGATAAAAGCAGTATATGGGTCTTAACTGTGGCAGCCTCTGATGGTACAGTATATGGTCTTAACTGTGGCAGCCTCTGATGGTACACAGTATATGGGTCTTAACTGTGGTTGGAAGTTTGATGGTACAGTATATGGGTCTTAACTGTGGCAGCCTCCTTGATGGTACAGTATATGGGTCTTAACTGTGGCAGCCTCCTGATGGTACAGTATATATGTCTTAACTGTGGCAGCTCTCTTGATGGTACAGTATATAACTGTGGCAGCCTCTGATGGTATAGTATAAGGGTCTTAACTGTGGCAGCCTCTTGATGGTACAGTATATGGTCTAACTGTGGCAGCCTCTTCATGGTGGTACAATATATGGGTTCAACTGTGGCAGCCTCTTGATGGTAACAGTATATGGGTCTTAACCGTGGCAGCCTCTTGATGGCAAGCTGAAGTATAAGGGTCTTAACTGTGGCAGCCTCTCTCACAGTACACAGTATATGAGCCCAATCAGGCAAGCTTCTTGACAGTACAGTATATGGTTCCACCCGTGGCAGCCCTCTTATCAGCAGTATAAGTGGGTCTCCTAACTGTGGCAGCCTCTTGACAGTACAGTATATGGGTCTTTAACTGTGGCAGCCTCTTCATGGTACAGTATATGGTTCTTAACTGTGGCAGCCTCTTCATGGTACAGTATATGGGTTCAACTGTGGCAGCCTCTTGACAGTACAGTATATGGTCTTAACTGTGGCAGCCTCTTGATGGTACAGTATATGGTTCTTAACTGTGGGCAGCCCTTCATGGTACAGTATATGGGGAATCTTAACCGTGGCAGCCTCTTGATGGTACAGTATATGGGTCTTAACTGTGGCAGCCTCTGATGGTACAGTATATGGCCTTAACTGCGGCAAGCTTCCCTTCATGGTACAGTATATGGTTCTTTAACTGTGGCAGCCCCTTGATGGTACAGTATATGGGTCTTAACTGTGGCAGCCTCTTTTGATGGTACACAGTATATGGGTCTTAACTGTGGCAGCCTCTGATGGTACAGTATATGGGGTCTTAACTACAGGCAGCCTCTTCATGGTACAGTATATGGTTCTTAACTGTGGCAGCCTCTTCATGGTACAGTATATGGGTCTTAACTGTGGCAGCCTCTTGATGGTACAGTATATGGGTCTTAACTGTGGCAGCCTCTTGATGGTACAGTATATGGTTCTTAACTGTGGCAGCCTCTTGATGGTACAGTATATGGGTCTTAACCGTGGCAGCCTCTTGACAGTACAGTATATGGTTCTTAACTGTGGCAGCCTTGACAGTACAGTATATGGTTCTTAACTGTGGCAGCCTCTTGATGGTACAGTATATGGGTCTTAACTGTGGCAGCCTCTTGATGGTACAGTATATGGGTCTTAACTGTGGCAGCCTCTTCATGGTACAGTATATGGGTTCCTATCTGTGGCAGCCTCTTGATGGTACAGTATATGGAGTCTTAATTGTGGCAGCCTCTTCATGGTACAGTATATGTCTAACTGTGGCAGCTCTTCATGGTGGTACAGTATATGGGTCTTAACTGTATGGTGCCTCTTGATGGTACAGTATATGGGTCTTAACTGTGGCAGCCCCTTGATGGTACAGTATATGAGTCTTAACTGTGGCAGCCTCTGATGGTACAGTATATGGTTCTTAACTGTGGTGCCCCTTGACAGTACAGTATATGGGTCTTAACTGTGTATGTTTCCCTTGATGGTAAGGCTGGTGCATATGGGTCTTTAACTGTGGCAGCCTCTTGATGGTACAGTCCCACCCACAAGGTCTTAACTGGCAGCTTCTGATGTACAGATATGTCTTAACTGTGGCAGCCACCAACCACCCACACAACAACCACCACCAACACCCAACACAAACACCCAAAAACCACTCTGATGGTACAGCATATGGTCTTAACTGTAAGCCTCTGATGGCATGGTCTTAACTGGCAGCCTCTTGATGGTACAGTATATGGGTCTTAACTGTGGCAGCCCTATGATGGCTACAGTATATGGGTTCAACCAGGGTCTTGATGGCAAAAAACACACCAAACACAAGTCTTAACTGTGGCAGCCTGATGGTATATGGGTCTTAACTGTGGCAGCCTCTTCATGGTACAGTATATGGGTCTTAACTGTGGCAGCCCTTGATGGTATGGTTCAACTGTGGCAGCCCTTGATGGTACAGGTATATGGTTTAACTGTGGCAGCCTCTTCATGGTACAGAAGTATCTGAACCAAGGTCTTAACTTGGCAGGCCCTATGGTACATGGTCTTAATACATGGTCTTTAACTGTAGCCTCTGATGTACAGTATATGGTTCTAACTGGCAGCCTTGATGGCATATATCTTAACTGCGCCTCTCATGGCTGTGCATATGGTCTTAACCGTGGCAGCCTTTGATGGCATATGGTCTTAACTGTGGCACCTCGATGGTATATGGTCTTAACTGGCAGCCTTTGATGGTATATGGTCTTAACTGGCAGCCTCTGATGGTACAGTATATGGTCTTAACTGGCAGCCTTGATGGTACAGATTGAAGTCCAGTAGGGTCTTAACTGTGGCATTTCTTAATGGCAGTATATGTATGGTCTTAACTGGCAGCCTCTTCATGGTGCTGGCATATGGTCTTAACTGTTCTTGATGGTACAGTATGGTCTTAACTGGCAGCCTCTGATGGTACAGCATATGGTCTCAACTGGCAGCCCCTTTGATGGTACATGCCAGTATAGGCGTCTTAACTGGAAAGGCAGCCCTTCATGGTACAGATATTCAACCGGCCTCTTCATGGTACAGTATATGGTCTTAACAGTAGCACCTCTGACGGTACAGTATATGGGTCTTAACTGGCAGCCTCTTGATGGTAACAGCATATAACTGTGGCGCCTCTGATGGCACAGCATGGTCTTTAACCAGGCAGCTCGATGGTATGGTCTTAACTGTGGCAGCCTTCATGGTACAGATATGGGTCTTAACTGTGGCAGCCCCTCTTGATGGTCTTAACTGTGGCAGCCTGATGGCACAGATGGTACGGTATATGGGTCATAACTGTGGCAACCTCTTGATGGTACAGTGTATAGATGTAACTGGCAGCCTCTTGATGGTACAGTATATAGGTCTGCTGTAGCATACTCTTGATGGTACAGTATATAGATTAACTTAACTGTGGCAGCCTCTTCATGAATTTTATTATATAGGTCTTAACTGTGGCAGCCTCTTCATGGTACAGTATGTGGTCTTAACTGTGGCAGCCTCTTGATAATTTACAGTATATGGGTGTAACTGTGGCGGCCTCTTGACAGTACAGTATATGGGTCTTAACTGTAGCATCCTCTTCATGGTACAGTATATAGGTCTTAACTGTGGCAACCTCTTGATAATTTTATTATATGGGTCTTAACTGTGGCAGCCTCTTGATGGTACAATTATGGGTCTTAACTGTGGCGAACCTCTTGATGGTACAATTATATGGGTCTTAACTGTGGCAGCCTCTTGATCAAAATTTGACATATAGATTAATATGTGGCAGCCTCTTGACGAGTACAGTATATGGGTCTTAACTGCTGGCAGCCTCTTGATGGTACAGTATATGAGTCTTAACTGGCAACCTCTTGATGTAATTTTTGATATATGGGTCTTAACTGGCATTTCCTTGACGAGGAGGTACAGTATATGGGTCTTAACTGGTAGCAGCCTCTTGATGGGCTGTTATATGGATCTTAACTGTGGCAGCCTCTTAGCAATTACAGTATATGGGTCTTAACTGGCGCTCTTGACAGTACAGTATAGATTAATAACTGTGGCAGCCTCTTGATGGTACAGTATATGAGTCTTAACTGTAGCAGCCTCTTCATGGTACAGTATATGGGTCTGCTGTGGCAGCCTCTTGATGAATTTCCCAGTATATGGGTCTTAACTGTGGCAGCCTCTTGATAGTACAGTATATGGGTCTTAACTAGCAGCAGCCTCTTGATGAATTTTATTATATGGAGATTAATTGTGACGCCTCTTGATGGTACAGTATATGGGTCTTAACTGTAAGCAGCCTCTTGACAATTACAGTATATGGGTCTTGTGGCAGCCTCTTGATGGTGACTATGGAGTCTTAACTGTGGCAGCCTCTTGATGGTACAATATATGGGTCTTAGCGCAGCAGCCTCGACGGTACAATATGGGTGTAGTGGCCTCTTCATGGTACAGTATGGGTCTTAACTGTGGCAGCCTCTTGTCAGGTGCAATGTATGGGTCTTGTATGGCAGCCTCTTGATGGTACGAATATGGGTCTTAACTGTGGCAGCCTCTTGATAGTACAGTATATGGGTCTTAACAGCGTAGCCTGTGATGGTACGATATATGGGTCTTGACTGTGGCAGCCTCTTGATGGTACAGTATATGGAGTGTAACTGTGGCAGCCTCTTGATGGTACAGCCATATATGGGTCTTAACTGTGGCAGCCTCTTGATGAATTTTGATATATGGGTCTTGACTGTGGCAGCCTCTTGATGGTACAGTATGGGTCTTAATTGTGGCAGCCTCTTCATGAGAATTTTGGTACCATGGGTCTTAACTGGCGGCCTCTTCATGGTACAGTATATGGGTCTTAACTGTGGCAGCCTCTTGATGGAGGTACGGTTTATGGGTCTTAACTGCAGTTATATATACATAATGTATTTTACAAAGGTTAAGTTTTTGGGTACAATACACTGTAGGGTACAATACACTGTGAGTACAGGTGTCACACTGCTGTAGGTACAATACACTGCTGGCAGAGTGCAGGTACAATACCTGCTGTAGGTACAATACACTGCTGTAGGTACAGCTACACAATACACTGCTGTGGTACAATACACTGCTGGGGTACAATATGCTACAGGTACAGGTACAATACACTGCTGTAGGTACAGGTACAATACACTGCTGTGGAAATTTAATACACTGCTGTGGAAGTACAGGTGTCCCCACTGCATAGTACAGGTGCAATACACCTTTGTAGTACAGGTACAATACACTGCTGTGGTACAGGTACAATACACTGCAACCAGAGTGCAATACACTGCTGTGAGTGCAAAATTTTCCTTTACTGCTGCAGGTACAAGCCACTGCAGAGACAGGTACAATACACTGCTGTGGGTACAATACTGCTGTGGAGGCCTGGGTGCAATACACTGCTGGCAGATGCAAGGTGCAATACACTGTGGGTACAATACTGCCATGGGTACAATACACACCTGTGGGGTACAGGTACAATACACTGCTGTGGTACAGGTACAATGTCACACTGCTGTGGGGTGCAGGTGCAATACACTGCTGTGGTGCAGGTACAATACACTGCTGTGGTGCAGGTACAATACACTGCTGTGGGTACGGTACAATACACCTTTCTGTGTAGGTGCAGGTGCAATACACTGCTGTGGTAGGTGCAATACTGCTGTGGGTCCAGTGGCTGCTGTGAGGTACAGGTGCAATACACTGCTGTGGTGCAGGTACATGCATGGTACCGTTGCAAGCACTGCTGTAGGTGCAGGTGCAATACACTGCTGTGGTACAGGTACAATACACTAACGGCAGGCTGGTGCAATACACTGCTGTGGTACAGGTACAATACACTGCTGTGGGTACCAATATTACACTGTGGAGTGCAGGTACAATACTGCTGCAGAGTACGAATTTTTGCAATACACTGTACTGTAGGTACAGGTATAATACACTGCTGTAGGTACAGGTATAATACACTGCTAGGTACAGGCACACACACTGCTGTAGGTACAGGTACATACACTGCTGTAGGTACAGGTACAATACACTGCTGTAGGAACAGGTACACACACTGCTGTAGGTACAGTTACACACCTGCTGTAGGTACAGGTATACACTGCTGTAGGTACAGGTATATACACTGCTGTAGGTACAGGTACACACACTGCTGTAGGTACAGATACACACACTGCTGTAGGTACAGGTACAAACACTGCTGCTGTAGGTGACAGGCAATACACTGCTGAATGGCTGGGCAATACACGCTGTAGGTACAATACACTGCTGTAGGTACAGGTACACACACTGCTGTAGGTACAGGTACAATACACTGTGTTGCAGGTACAGGTACAATACACTGCTGTAGGTACAGGTACAATACACTGCTGTAGGTACAGGTACAATACACTGCTGTAGCTCATCATTTCAGGTACTTGAGTCTGGAACTGCAACTTTGCCAACATCACAGCAGCTCAGAAATCCCCTAATAAATTCTCTTCAGAATTGAAGGTGTCAGAGTGTTTTTTTCAACAGACTTCATCACTTTAACTAAGGTAAAGTTTTAACCCTATCCTTCTAGATTTCTTTTGAAATGCTAGTAGCACATGTAAAATTTCATCCCTTTTTCAGGTGTCTTTGTTTAACTTAATAATTTAATAATGCCCACCATTCAAAATTGTCTATTTTTTTAATATGTATTCATAATGGGATCTATTTATTTATTTTTGGTAAATTTGATCTTTTAAATGATTTGCTCTTACAAATTAAATGTTATGTTGCGAGCGGCAGGATAGCGAGGAAGCAGAGTGGCGTACTAATAAACCAGAAGCCTTGCTGTCATCATGGACTTCTTTGCCCGGGTCTTCAGTTATACATCAAGTTGACCAAGGAGAATGACCATGGTGAGGGACCTCTCTATTCTTTTTGTGAACAAGAGTTGTAGTTTACTTCAGTAGTGACAGGTACTGTATTTGAATAAGTTGTGTCCAGTATATTGCTTAATATTGAAATGGTTTCACCATACACCTGTAGTACATTTCACTCTGTTAGATTGAGAAGTTTATTTATGGTAATTGTCCACTAACAAATAGTAAGTAAACAAATTTGATATTATTTGATGCATTTATGTGGTAGAAATTTCAGTGGGAATAAATCTCCAACTTACTACCTCAACTGTCATCTGGTGTGGAAATACAGTACTGTTTAATTTCCTTTGGGGTCAATACTGCTTCAGTATTTTAATGAAGCTTCTCGTTTAATATTAATCTGAATGACGAATTTTCAGCGGGTCGACAGCCGAAGCATGAAGAACGGTGGCCATGATTAAAGAACTTCTTGACACACGGTTAGGCCCACATTACAGGAAGATGGTATTCTCTTCGGATTTGGCAGCCGGAATATATCTTAATGCGTACAAAAGTACATAATATAGTACAGTAGGTCCTCGGTGTCACAATCCGTCCAGCAGGTTCTCGTTAACGAAAAACTCGTTAACGAAACCATTTCAATGGGTTTTTGGGAAGTGTTCCAGCTCACATTGCCTAAATTCAACAAAAAGGAAAAGACACTTACTTTAGGGTGTATGTAGAAGGCTCCTGGATGATGATCATGATGAGGAATTAGAATGGGGGTGGAGAAGGAAGAAGAAGGCATTGGGGTGGAAGAAAGTCACCCCATGTTTCCTTTTCACCCATAAAATTTAGCTCTCTTGGTGTAATTCAAGATTTTTTCTTTAAATCAACACTGCACTGCATTATATATTGTCAATATGTAAAATATATTCAAAGTGACCAATAATTTGCTTGGAAACACAGAAAAAAGCATTTAGTTGAAGAGAGTCTCCAGAGATGTTACCTCCACTGAAAACAGAGAGACTAACGCCTGTCTGGTGTGTTAACAGGCTGGATGGCATCAGAAACTAGTTTCTTTACCTTCAATTATGTTCAATAATTGTTAAAATGACTAAAAAGTTAATATTAAACTTTTAAAATTATTGAATAGTATAAACTTCTTGATATTTACTAAAATAATGAAATTTAAGCCCTAAACGATTACTGTATTGGCGGACCAATACTACAGCTGAGTGGACCGCCAAATGCAAGCAACATGTTGAAGTCGGCTCCATAAAAACTCGTTAATCGAGGGCTTGCTCGTTAACCGAAGTTAAGAATCTTATGGAAGGTAAATAATTAACCAAAATCTCGTTAACCGAGGGACCACTGTAATGAGTTCCATAAGAGAGATGATGAACTACATGGCGGCACTAGGATAAAGTTGTGACTAAGATGAGCAGTTAGCACAGTACAGTACAGTACAGTATATATTAAAGTTATGTGGTATCTTATTATCAGGTGGGTTAGCTTTATGCTGTAAAAGGTGAAATACTGTATGATAATAGTGTTTAAGAAGATGTGTGTAATAGGAATGTTCTCTTTATATCAGGGTTGGAAAAAATCATGATTTTTTTGTAAAAAAAATTGTGGGTTCTTTGATTTAAATCGGATTTTTTTTTATTTAAATCGATTTTTTTATTTTAATAATTGCATTAAATAAGTATTTTTCTATATGATATTTTTCAACCAGCTTATTCAGGATAATAAACAGAAAATTTGGCATTAAAGATATTTATGCAATAGATGTACCAATGGAATTTAACACAATAATATTCTTTTTGTAAAATAAAAAGTAGTAACATATCTTACACTTTGAGTGCACATCCAAGCGTAATAATAAATTTAACATAAATGTCTTATAGGATTACAGTGTGTTCCAAAATTAATAACCTTCTTCAATCAACAAGATAATATTATCATTTTTGTAAAAAGAAATAATACTGTTAATGAAGTTTTACTTTGTTGCATTTGTAGGATATAGTGTATTAAGAATTACGGTAATAACTTCAAGTCAACACAATATTCTCATTCGTAAGCAACAAAATAGTTCAAAACATTTAAAATTAGCTCAGTTGAACATTAGAAATACTTATATGCTACGAGCAGAAAGCAAATTGCACTTTTCTGTCCCTAGATGATTTCTTACCTTTGGTGCTTGCAAATCCACTGTAGCGGAAAAAATTCTCTACAACCCCTGCTGATGATGCAACAGGTGTAAATAGCACGCCTCGGAACACTCCATTGTTTTCTGTCATATCATTGTAAAAACTCTGCCCACCAACCGCAAGGGTAGAGAGATTTTACAGCATCTTTACCAAAAATAAAATCCTCTTTAAATGATGCACTTCTTCATGGAGGACATTAATGACGAAAGGAAGTATGGAAGAGACTACTTTTACATACTGTTCACAATATCTCTCTGCTCAGGGTCAGATGTCTGCCCTGATACTTGGATCTATCCCATTAGCTAGAAATAAGCTAGTGTCCAAACTGCTGATTCTTTTCAAAATTGCTCATGCTCAGCCTTGTGTTAAATACTCCTTAATATCAGTTTTCAGTTTTACCCCAAATTTCTACAGCATCACTTAATAGGGTATATTTCTCTCTGGACACAGTCCAATGCTGCAACAATAGGCTTAAGTCTCTCTAGATGATAGTCTTCTGCAATTCTTTAATGCCTTATCATTAACTTTCCTTTCAATTTCTTATCATTATGCTTCCACTATTTTCTTGCTTTTGCTAACAAAGGGTCTCCCAGTTCTTTAAATAAGATTCAATAGAATCTGTCACTGTATTCACTCGTGTGTCTGATGGCATTACTAGCAATGTTCCTCCTGCTCTTCTATACAAGATCCTGGGATGCTTGATGAGAGATTTTGGAGAGTACATAATGATTTTGATGTGTATCATAATGTTCTTGATTGCAGGTCTTGTGAAAGCAAATTTAACAGGTGTGCAGGGCAGCCATATGTTATAATGGATTTATCTTGTCGAATTCACTTCTCATTTTGCCATATTAGCTATCTGTTACACAGCTTCTTACTGTGCATCCAAATTTGTCTTCACACTTTTGTAGCACATTTCAGCTGTGTCTTGGTCTGTCTGTAGAGTCAACAAGACCATCTGTTGTCCATGTTAAGTTACACATACTATGGGCTCATTATGGACCTCCATCCATCATGGCCATGCAAACTGTTTCCCACTAAGTTCATCCCTGAATAATTCTTAATCACTGAATGTTAGGCTTGATCCAAAAAGAGACCCTCAATTTGATGTCTATTAGGTGGGGCATATCCTGGTCTTAGCATTTTAATCATCTTGATAAACTCTTGAAAGTAACCACTGTTAGGAAGAATTTGTTGCATATATATAATTATAACTTGCTGATCAAAGAAGTGACTTTTCAGGCTTAGTAGTTTTATCACAGGCAGTTGTAAGCTTGCTGGTCCTGGGAGCTCTCCCTCTTATCTCTCTTGAATGGTGAGGGAGAAAGGGCAGCTGATATATCTTTAACTTTAGATGATGAAACTGGAAAGAACAGACTACAGTAATTGCAATGCACAGTATATAAGCAAATAATATTTATTAGCCTGCTGCATTGCATATACTTTTTCAATTATGTAGAATAAAAAAGAAAACAGTTATTATTAAAAAAAAATCATTTAATTTAATCATGATTTTTTTACTCTGAAATTCGTCGATTTAAATCATGATTTAAATCATTGATTTAAATCACTAACCTTCTTTTATATAAATTTACATCAATTAATGTTACTCCTCTTATCTGGTGTTTTAGTTACATCACCAGGCTCAAAGTGTTATGACATTATTGTGTGTTTTATCTTCACTTTTATCCTCAGTATCTTTTGTGTTCGGTGGAAGGAATGTGTTTAAGGGTGATAAAAAATTGCTTTGTGGAATGGTTCGAAAGAGATTTAATGCTGTGAGAAGTGAAAATGCGGCTTCTTACCATTGCCTGGGGAGTTGATTCTTTCTTCTACAACCCTATTTGTTTTCCTGGTCAGTTAATTGTTTCATATTCTTTGTTTGGATGTATGAGTGGCTACAGTGACACCTTCGTCACATAAAATTCTCCTTTTTTTATTGGATGAGTGTTGTTATTAATAGAAGAGGAACACCATGCTACTTCTATTCCATTAGTACAATAATTCTTATGGGGATATTTTCAACTCAGTACACTACTAGTCCCTATTTTGAGTGCTCTACCCACCGACGAATAATGGGGACCATATGATTTAAATCAATATTCTGCCATTATGATATTCTTTTGAAATTGTTTTTATGCAAATTATTCCTTTCCCCAGATGATGGGTTCATGTACCAGAGCTGCCCTCATCGGATTGTTACGATGAAAATAGTTAGCCTGAATATGCTTCAGTTTTACATCAGTGAAGCTCATATACGGTACAGTAATTTCCCCAGCCGGTACAGCATAACAATATAAAATACATCAATGATACAGGCATAAATAATCAACTGGTTGGTCACTCACTAAATATAAACATATCTATTTTGGGTGGCTGAGGGTTGTTGAGTTAAGATGTAGAGATGATCTTATTGAGGAAGAGTTCA